ACTGAAGAACAAAAACGACAGCAACTTGTCTGTTCCCCTTCCCCCAATTCCCCAGCACTGTTCCCATCCCCCCAATTCCCCAATTAAAAAAAAAAACTACAGTTGTATTGAAAGCATCTTGAGAGATCTAGATAATCAGTGTCCTGGCTGAGAAGTAAACTTCCTCAGAGTCTTCTCAAATTGTGTTTCCGTTTCTGCCTGAAAGCTGGAGAAAGCTGGATTCTAGAACTCTAATAATGTCCCTTAGTGGAGAAATCTCTGGGCACTGTATTATACTGCTAATAAAAATGTCTGAAGGAAATCCGTTTAGGATGATTTTAACACCAGTTGGGATTCTCAGGCTGTCACTGTGGCTGGCAGTGGCTGCCATCTACAGCAGTACAAAGGAGTTCTAAGGTTTTGGTATACCTTTGCTGCCTTGGAGAATGGGGAGAGGTTAGGAGTTTCTTTAGCTGAGGATTAAGGAACAGTAATAAGAATAGGATGCCTTGTTCTAGACCACAAAGATCCTTCAGGAGGAGAGGAGAAAGAATAGCTGCTCTGGAAAGCTGGTTCCAGGCACAGGGGAAGGAAAAGGCAGTGTTTGCCTACAATAGATCACTGAACACTGACTTGCAGTCTTGGCTGCACACTGGAATAATCTGAGAATCTTTTTAAAAAAATGCTGATGCCTGGGTCCAATCCCCAGAGATTCTGATTTAATTGGGGTACAGCCTGGCTGCCACACAATTTAAAAGCACCTCAGGTGATTCTAACTTGCAGCCAAAGTTGAGAACCACTGAAGTAGAGAAAAGTCTTGGCCCATCGCATCCTGAAAAATTTAGCAAAACTGAACAGCTCTATGGGAGCGGGCCAGGGCTGGGAAGAGAATGGAGGGAAGGTGGTGCAAACCCGAGCACTTAGGCACAAGAAGAAGAAAACTTTGGGTTCAGAATTCCATAAGTAAAGTGAAATTGGGCTGTGAATGTCACAGTATGGTGAGAGATTTAAGCTTCTTTGTTAACTATGGTCATCTTTGATGGAGACCCTGTGGCCAAGTAGGAAGATAAAGAGTTTATCAACTAGTTTCTTGCTCTGTGGAAGCTTGCTGTGGGAAAGTTACATTGCTGTCCTGAGGAGAGATCCAGTCACTTTCTTGGGCTTTCTCCCCAAGTCCTTTAAATCAGGTGTTTTTAGCCTATATCTTGGGGTGAGTTGCTCCTGTGGATGGCTTACGATTCCTGTTTTCTCTACTAAGTCTTACTTATAAATATGGTAATCCTATTCGAAATTTAGGAGTGGATGCTCATGTTGCCCTGTCTGCACGAATTTTTATAATGGATTTGGGGCATAAAAGGGAAAAATAAAGAATTTGGAGTATAAAAGGGCAGTGTCTAAAGAAGCAGGATGAAAAGAATTTTTCTTTGCATAACTGGTGAAGTTGTTTTGGGAAATGCTGGCTGAGGAATTCCATGACCTTCTCCTTGCTTTTTGGATAGCTTTGTTTCTCAGGCTGCTGGCAGGCCCCACCCAGCTTGACTGCCGTCCTGCAACTCACCTTTGGAAAATATTATACGTATTTTGATTTTAAAAGGTATACTTTCCAACTTGTCTTGGTGAAGTAGAAACAGAGATAAGCACTAACGTCAACCAAGAATTTAATCAGTGTGATCTGATAGAAAGAAGGGAGGAGGCAGATGTTTTTCATCTCCTATTTCTACCTTCCTAAAGATTTAAACAGCACTAAACTGTGGTCTGGAGCAGTGTATTGAAGCAAATGGATGGAAAGTAGGTCCTTCGAGATGCAGAAATCACTAACAGCTATTTTAAGGAGCAGAATTTATAGACGTGATAAGAGAATTTAAATTCTCTGCATCGTCATTCATGGCCAGCGTAGGTACAGATGGAGATTACTAATAGGTAAAAGCTGAGAAAACCCTTTTAAGTCTGTGCTCTGAGATGTGCCTTGCTCCCAAGCATTTTAATAAATCTGCCACTTAAAATGCCCTTTTATACCTGACAAGGCTAACAGATGTTCCCAAAGTAGATGAGAGCGAGCTCACCTGTGTCATCATGGTTGCAATTGAATCAGTATATTTTTAACACCAGCACAGACACATGCAACCTGCTGTGAGATGACAGAATTCTGTGTGGGTTGGGTAGTTTTGGACCTCATTTAAAGGTACTTACAGTGAGCCAGATACCAAAAGGGTCGTCTTGTTAGGAGTTTCCCTCTGTGTGAGGTGAGTTTCATTTCATGGTTCCAGAGGTTCAGAATGATAGGGGAGTACTAAAGCTTGTGTTATATTCCGTGTATAGAAGCCCTTTCAATTCCAGAAAATGCCTGCCAGGGATTGGTGGTGGTGGTGGTGGGGGGGGGTCAGGGGTCAGTG